CTGTGTCTACTTTTTTGTTTGTTCAGGTGCAACTTACCTCCTTTGGAAAATGGATATGAGAAAGATGTTGGCAGCAAAACTAGCCTTGTGACAGCAAATCCAAGCATCATTTTCCAAAAGTGAGCAAAAGAAATAATTCCTTGTCACTAGGGAAGGGAACTGATAAGAATTTAACGATTCTGATTCTATTATCAGAATCACTTTCCAATTTGATTTCTTATCAACTCTCTTATTGAGGCTCGTTGGGTCCTCATTGTTTTCACATTGAGTCACCGCTAAGCAGCATGTCAAAGACATTACATTCTGCAACTTAATTGCATGCTGTTGTTAAAATTTTTGTATATATTTGAGGTATTTCCCAATAAAAACAAAAATAATTAAATAAAAAATAATTAAATGTCCAAATCTACACTGTAGGCCACACCGCAATTTTTTTCTCCTCTGGCACATGAACTTAAAACAGCTGATGACAAGTACAACAAATGTGACTGATAGGCAAACACTGGGAACTAGTTCTTTTAGAGAACCAGCTCTCGATTCCTATCCCTACTTGTCACCTCACATTATGTATGCGTTTTTGCTCAAAGTCAGCTGTTTCTTTTGCACAGGTATGGTGCGCTGACTGGACGTCGCCTTCCATTTGTGGAGAGTCTGCACAAGTACGGCAACTCTCTGCTGCTCCTTCCTGCCTTCTCCTTTGGCAGGAATACTGCTATGTGTCAGCGGGCTGCATATACAATAGAGGACTTTGAAAGCCCTATTCGACCTGTTTTCTCCAACGCTCAGTACCTCCACAGTCTGGATCAATTCTGGAGCTCTGAAGGCCTGAAAGAAAGGCGGCTCAGCACTGGATTCATTATGGTTAGCATGGCCCTGGAATTGTGTGAAAATGTACATCTGTATGGATTCTGGCCCTTTAGTAACCACCCATATGACCTCTATACCCTGACTAACCACTACTATGATGATGTACCGGTTAAAACGTTTTTTCACGCAATGCCGGCTGAGTTTGAACACTTGTTGCAGCTGCACACTGAAGGGGTACTCAGGCTTCACCTGGGAGACTGTAAATCAGATAAAAAATAGTTCCCAGGGATAGACAACAGCACAGAAGCAAAGTACAGAGTCAAATGCCTTCTCTATAGCCTCAGGATGAATCCAGTAACTTTTTTGCCTTTATAAGGCCATTGCTCTGTACATTTTAGTGCTTTATTACAAATATCTCTCACCCTGTATTCTGAAATACCTCAATTACATTCTCTTGATTTTTAGAAAACAAAACTCTAAGGACTATTTTGACAATATCTTAAAAAATGTAACCATGAAAAATACTTTGGTACCAGCAGAAGATAAATGTATAGTGCCTGATAAAAGTGCAAAAATCATATCACACAACTACCACATTTGTCTGATTTTAAGTGAGATTCATGCTTCTGTGTTAAATCTGCACCACAGGTAATGTACAGCATAACTTCAAACCTCCCTGAAACCCAATGCCATAATTCAGTAACTGAGCCTGCACCTCCATTGAAATTAAATTAAACACTGAGTGGATGAAGTCTACAATGACTGTGATTGGCTCGATCAGTACTGTCATTTCCTAGGCATTTCCAGCTACTTCTTTTACTGCTGCCATTTTCTAAATTGACTGCAAGGGAATGGATGAACTTGAATAGAGAACTTTGCTGGCCGCTTTCATAAGCTACACCATAGTCTCTGTATAGTACAAATTACACATTATTTCTACATATGATGCAGGCAAAGGTAATGGTTTGTGTCAATTTATCTTTTTATCGGTCCTTTGCAAAACAATTTTTAAAATCCCAGCGCCGCTGAATTTGTGACCACTACTGCTCGCTCCCGTTTCTGTCACTTTTGCCCAGTCCCACAGTATTTCTGCCCAACGCCACTCTAAGTTTATTCAAATTCAGCAAAAATCTCAACGTTTTGGCATTGATTTGTCTGTTGCAATGTTGATCCTAGACCAACATTTTTCTCTTGATCCAGGAACAACACAGGAATGTGGATATCAGATACGTGTGTTGGCAGGGCACTGCGGGTTAGGTGTATTCTGGTCATACTGGAACTGTTCATGGCTGTTGTTGTTTCATAAACAGTATGAAAGGAGAGGGAAAATTAAGTGAACGTGAATAAGTACTTATCAAAAGATTTCGGAATTGTGGATATGTTGACATTCACTTGTGGGTAGTTATTTCAGAATCCAAGGTATTTAGAGCGATCAACCGTTTAAATGTTATGATGTAGTCAATACCAAGTATTCAATTTGTCTAAACACATGTCTTGAGGTGAGAGAATTCACATATTTTAATGTGAATGTTCAGATCAAAAGAAAAGCCATCATGCCATCACATCATAAAATTTCAGGGTATTCAGATTAATAAACAAAATGTTATATAGAACCAACTAACATTTTGTTTATTAATTTGAATACCCTGAAATTTTATGATTTCGTTGAATATAAAATGGCACAGATAATGTATAAAGCACAAAATAACTTTCTTTGGCGCAGTACTCAGAAGCTGTTTAAAGTCAGAGAGAGTCTATATGACATAAGGGGAACAGGTTTCTTTAAAAAAAAAAAAAAAAAAAAACTGAAAAGATCAATAATAATAATACTCAAACTCTTGGTTGTTTTGCTTTGATGTAGTTACATATATAAGGTGGAAAGGTTTTTGTTGTTTTTTTTGTTTTGTTTTGTTTTTTGTTTGTTTGTTTGTTTTTAGCTTTGCTTTGTTTTATTCTTTGCTTCGAGCCCTACGTACAGGAGCTGCATGCTAAAAGCAGATGATCCAGTGTGGCAACCCCTAAAGCAAGCAGCCAAGGGAAGATGTTGGCAAATCTATATATGTTGTTTATTAATGTTACAAACCCCCCCAACACTGTGAACTACTTTTAAATTACTCTAATTGTAAATCATCAATCATAGTGACTGTGTCTGATACAAACTGTACTATGTACTTTTATAACACAAACAAAATGCTGACAATTGTGGAGTCAGCATATGTCCCAGCAGTGACCATCAACAGCCTTTTGATTGCTATCACTCAGAAAATGGACTTTATTAAACTGTGATAAATATGACATTGTCTCTAACAATCACTGACTACTATCTCCTTACAGTAGGTGTGGATATTTGTCTTGACATACTGGCAGTGCACTCTAAAAACTATTGTTTAAGCTCAACAAAAAAAAATTAACGCAACAGTTTCCATTACTCTTTTTGAGTTACGATAACTTATGTTGAAATTAGATTGAACCAACAAACTATATTGAGTTAGGGGAATTAACTTTTCCTCCATAATCAAAGGTGATTTTAATTACCATTTATGTAATATTTGGTATCTTAAAAACATATTTTTAAGTTGTTTACTCGTAAAAATTTTCTTTCTCCAATTACTTTTTCCACATTATTTAAAATGATTTTTAAGTGTTATGTAATTAATTACAGCAATTACAAAAACTATTTTTTAAAGTTCATTATTTAAAATATTAAGTTGTTGATTTTCATCATTATTATCATCATTTTAGCTTTCTCTTATTTTTTTTATTGTAATAGCTTTTAAGAAAGGAATTCATTCAACATTTTTTTTATCAAAAAACTTTATTTTTTAACTGTAGGCATTTCAACACTTTGTATTTAAAAAGTGAAAATAAACCAGAAATTTAGATTTATACCATCTCAGCCAAGTTATAGTATATGCCTTTATGTATTTAACACCACAGAAACAAATGTGTTCAATTGGTAAAAAAAAAAATCTATTTAGAAAACATTTTGTTACAGTAATACTTCCATGCAAGTGTTCAGTAAATGTTAACTTTCAATGCCTACCAAACTTTACAAGATCTTGCATCTTTCTATTACACAATGCAGCAAACACCTTTAAGATCAATGTTACACATACAGGATTCAAAACAGTTAACAATTTTTGAAAAAGAGTCAACATCTTTAACATAATGATGGTTCCATCAAGGTCAAGGAACAGCTTCTGAACAACTTCAAAAGTATATTTCAGATCCTTGCATTAGCTCAGATTGAGAGCATATATTATGCCCATGTGCAAAACACAGCACCTTGGGAAATTCTGGCCCTCCATGATTTTTGTTTCCTCCACCTCACAATGGTTGCAGTCTTATGGTTAGATCCAGGGGTGTACCGGTCACTGATGATGGCAGTTTTCATCACATGCCTTTCAAGGTTGGCCTCAAGTTCTTCGGTGTTAACTTAAGGCCAACCTTAAGTTAAGGAGTGTAATGTAATATTACGTATGGGTCATGCAAGTTTTATAAAGATATAAAATAGGTGAGCCAGATGGAAAAAAGAAGCCTCTAGGTTATCCCTCTGACAAAACTATTCACAGTTTAAAGGCTTCTAATTTTGGTAAAAAGAAAAACAAAATCAGC